CTGACCGGACAGGTCGCGGGGTCAAGGGGCATATTCCTTAGCAGTACCGAGCATGCACCTAACGGTACTGAGCGGTACCGAGCATGTACCTAGCAGTACCGAGCAAATACCTAGCTGTACCGAGCATATACTGAGCGGTACCGAGCATGTACCTAGCAGTACCGAGCAAATACCTAGCTATACCGAGCATATACTGAGCGATACTAAGCATATATTTGAGGCGTACGCCTCAGCCAGAATTGCGCAATTGCGCCTCTGAGGCGCGCCTCAGTTCAAGTGAGGCGTACGCCTCTGCCAGGAGAGGAATTGCGTAAGCCTCGAGTCGGTTTTGGGTCAAATTGCGCAGAGGCGCGCCTCTTATTGCGCAATTTTAAACAGAGCTCTCAAGCACTCATCTGATGTTCTACCTCGCGACACCTCAAACATGAGCTGCTTTCCTTTACTCCCATTAGAGCCAAGCTCCTCCACCTCACAATGCATCTCACCCCTACACACACACACCCTACCTCACTAGCCTATGACCTCACCCTTTACCGCATGCATTCCACTCACTTGCTACAAATAGTGATTTTGCTTGCTTTCCATTACGTGTTCATATCCCACATCCTCGATCCTCGCCCTTTGTCTCATGTGTCCACTACATCTTACTATTGCAGCCATTACACTTGCTGCCACTCACCCATTACATAGGGCACAATTCTTCGTGCATTAAACATTCTAAATGATTTCACTATTTCATAATCCGGCTCTCTCTCTCTCTCTCAACAGTGTCATGGCTTTCAATCTACACGTAATGACTTGAAGTCCTTATCCACCCTTAGTACAACAATCAAATTCAGTACCGAGCAAGTACCCTGCTTATTATTAAGCAACTAGACAAAATTGGTTTATGAAAAATAAAGATATTATACCTTAAATCTCTATACTCATCTCTTTGATACCATTACCTTTTAAAATACCTACATCAAATTGGTATCAATGAGGATAGGAGCACAAATGACAAAACATATTGACTTAAAGCTAGCTTGAGGGTTCGCACAAATCTCAAAGCACCCAACTAACACCTTGTGAAATAAGTAAAATAGTAATGTCCTTTTTTGTGGAGGAGCCTATATGTACAATTTCCCCTTATGTGGTCGGAGCAAATGTGTTAGGCTTGCAGTCAATGTTGGTTTGGGGAAGGTTTAATGAACAAAATCTTACGCTAGTTTTGTGAAGCCATTATTTTTGTCAAATTTTTTTTGCCGTCCTCCTTAAATTAGAATGTTGAAACCTTAGAGTGTAGGGATGGAGAAAATCTAGTTACCACTCTGAATTTCTCCCTCCACCTTCTCTCGACTATTTTTTCCTCTTGCTTTGCGCCTCTTCCTTTCTCTCTTTTTGGCCTACTTTTTATTGTTTTGATGGTCCTTTTTGTTATCATCAATGTAGAGTCACCAACAAAAGGAGCCGATGGGTTCTAAGGCATGGCACTATGAGGCGAGTAGAGCTATGTTGTCGATCCAAAGTAAGCCTAGTCTACTGGGAAAAAGGCATCCAAGAAGTGGCTTGAAGGAACCTATAAAATTAGATTGCCTTCCTCCTATGCCGAGGATTAGAAGAGCCCTCTATAAAAGTGTGGATCCTTTGTGATATAAACAAGGCCTCATTGATGGGTCTATTATACACCACAAATGAGTTTTTTTTTTTTTTTGCTTGTGATGAGATTAGATATTCTTAGAACAAGTTGGCAAATAGGCATAAGTTTTTACTTGCTTGGATTAAGACATCATTATGCACATCAAGCATAAACAATCCGATGAAAGAATAATGAAGATGATGGTAGTAGGTTGCATGATGACTTGTTTTATTATAAAAAATTTTGGAAGGATAAATGAGGGACAAAATATCTTTTATTTCTATTGGCTAATTTCATGCCTTGACATGCATGATGCTAAACTTTTGAACTTCGATGCAAGGTTGCACAGAATGGAGCAAAAAATAAATAAATAAATTCCAATAAGTGCAATGTCTTAAAAGAAATGGCACGTTCTTATATCATGAAGTGAAAGAAATCATCATGTGCCTCTTGCAATTGTTCAAAAGCCTCAATGTGATGTCTCCCGCACCACTCTCACAATTGTGAGCTTTTTTAAGGGTACTTGTGAGCTTCGAAAATTCATGTCTAGCTAGTTTGAGAGTTTGTTCCAGATTAAATTTTCATAATGCGGATTAAGTTATAGTCTTATACACTACCCAAAAATTTCGCCATCATTTTACGATGAATCTTTTATTTTTTTTCAAGTTTTCGCCATCATAGAAGAATTTTTTATTTTTTTTTCAAGTTGGCATATGGAGATGAGATTTATTAATGTTAGTATGATCATTGAGTTTAGTTTTACATTATATAGGTAACAAAATGTTGATGTAGAAATATCAAATTGTTGGACCTTATTCATAAGCTTAATCTTTTTGTTTAAAACGGGGTTGATCCTACTTTTGTCCACTTTCTTTAATAACATCAAAGTTTGAAATGTATATATTTTTTCTGTTCCTTTCACATACATTTGGCTGTATCTTTAATTATCTGGATCAAATCTGATTTTGACTAAAATATCCAGGTCAAGGGTTCACAGATCACAGCATCCATTACCCTATAAAGAATCCTGATGTAAAAACCTTCACGCTTGAGTACATAAAAAAAGCAACATCATGTTACCAGACCTTAATTGGTGAAGGTGGATTTGGGATAGTTTACCGTGGTACACTTCCATATGGTCAAGAAGTTGCTGTAAAAGTTCGATCAGCCACTTCAGTTCAGGGTACACGTGAGTTTGATAATGAGGTAAATTTTTACATGCTGCATTTTGCTCATATGTGCTTATTCTAAATGAATCATAACCCTTTTATGTTTTGAATTTTTAAATTTATGATGCTTCAAAATTTAATTCACCTGTTTTATGCTTTTCATTTCCATATATGAAACCCTAATATGCTACACTTTTTGAGATGGCATCAAATAAAACATCGGGTGATTTTAGTGAACAACAAACTAAAAAATCTCTAGTGTCATTTATGAAAATAAAGGTAAGTATGAAATAGGCAAAAATACAAATTTTAAGTGTCACATATTTAAATATCCCTTGATCAAATTTATGTTTTATGACCTGCTGTTTGTTTCTTGCTACTTTAATAAAGCGTGCAAAAGCTTAATTGCATATTTATTTGAAATGATGGTTTGTCATTGACTTCCTAGTTAAATGATATTCCCGGTTTAATAAAGTAAAACAACTCATCTTTTTTTCCGGATCACCTTTATGCCATACATATCAAAAGCATCAAAGATTCATTATGTTTGGTTTGCTAACAAACATCTATTTTCTAGGTAAACCTTCTTTCAAAACTTCAACATGATAATTTGGTCCCACTCCTAGGTTACTGCTATGAAAACGATCAGCAAATTCTAGTATACCCCTTCATGTCCAATGGTTCTTTACAGGAACGTCTTTATGGTATTCATCTTTGAACGAAGCATGTTTTGATCAGCCATTCATTGCTTCACTCCCTACGTATAATTCACTATATTTGCAGGCGAGGCATCAAAAAGAAAGGTTCTGGACTGGCCAACACGACTTTCCATTGCGTTAGGTGCTGCTAGAGGTAAGCAAATTCCTATCTTTTTTTTCTTAAATATGCTTAATATCCTGATCAGTTGTCAGCACACAATATTCTAGTTTATTTGAAGAGTGACCAGTTAAAGTTATAAAGAAATTATTCTAATAATACTATGCATGAAACTAATCGCACCCCTGTGTTTGTATGGATCCTCTCAGGCGCACTTGTGCCATCATGCTTACCAAAATTCACAGATATAGATGCGTGCATGATATTAACAAACGCACCCACACCTTGAGAGGTTCACTTACCAAGAAAACAGATATATAGGAAACTACTTTGTCTCACATAGTGAATTCAACAATTAGCCCGTCTTTACTTAAAGAAGGTGGATTACCAACAGATTGAATTTCCTTGATAAATAAAAAATTTTGTTTTTTGGTGCAGATAAGTTTTAATTCAAATTTGACCTGTTGTTTGAACCTGTTGGATAAGGATAAACAAACATATTGAAAGAAAATTTTGGAGAATGCGTTCCCAACCATTATTATATGATATTTCAGCCTGTTTTTTTTCACCTTTTTATTGCAATCTTTTTTATTTAGAAATCATAGCCAATCTTCACAACATCAAACCATATGATGGATAAGATTTGATAATTTTTGTTTCATTCCTATATTTGGCAACTGAGTCATTATTAATAGTGATAGGAATAAATGTTTAAGCTGTCAATAGAATTCATAAAACAATGATAGGAAAAAAAATTTTCATTGCTTCCTTACTCCTAACAACTGAGTCCTTATTAATAGTGATTTTAGTTTCCATTGAGAGGCATTTAACCAGATTGTCTTCACAATTTGTGTGCTGATCTTGTGCCAACATATATAGTAGCATGGGGATGAGAAGTTTAATTGCAAAAAACAATGACGAAAGCTTGTTTTTACGCCCAAGAAAATGGCTCTGATACCAATTTGTTAGTAAACGAGTGCAGGAATTGAGAAAACCTAGCTGAAATTGGAAATTTCAAGCAATCTTCAAGCAGTTTTTTTAGATAAATCCCTTGGAAAATCTTAGGGAAACTTGATAATAGAATAAAAGTAGAAGAAAACAAGCAAGATACAATGGATCTTCAATTTGAGAGGAAGATTAGGCTCTCCCAATCTCTAGCCTGTGGCTAGAGCCCAAAACACCTAAGAGAAAACTCAAAAACAGCAAAACAACACATAAGCCTAACCCTAATTCTCTCTCTCTCTCTCCCCCCCCCTTCTCTCTCTTTAGATAATACAAATTAAATGCATAATTACTAAACATCCCTCCTTAATTAATTTCACTCATAATTCCTCCCCCTCCTATTAAAAATTGCATTAAATTCATGGGCCCACAAAGGGGGCTGGCGGCTCCCTAGTCCACCTGGTGTAAACCAGGTGCTGGCCCTAGTTTAGGGCCGGCTAGACCGGTCTAACAGATTGCTTGTTGATTTTACATAATTAGAATTTCTCATTGATTTTTTTTAGATTTGTTTGATCACTGCAAGATCATTTGGGTTTTAAATATAGTATTGCATTAAGAACCCTATATCCTAAACCATAAGCCCTAAAACTTTAAGGATCAATTATGTTTCTAGGTGGAGGAAAAAAATTATACTTCTAGGTGGGATGCTCGTAGACATCAATACATTTTATTGGATCTCAAAACTATACAAAAACAATGTGAAACTTGGTCTATAATTTTGGCATAGCAACGTACAAATATAAAAGTCTACCAAAGGACAAGAAGAAACCAAATACATCCACTTCGACAAGACAATCTGAAATAGAAGCCCATCGTTGGCGAAAGAAATCTCAAACAACATGGTTTAGGCCAAAGAAATCTCAAACAACATGGTTTAGGCCATTAGGCCTACATGCCTGGTTCATCTAGCAAGCAGTAGTTTTATTTCTTTTGTTTCATCCTATTTTAGCATTTTTGTTATATAGAGCAGTTCTATGTTATTATTTTGTAGAGCAGGTCTTTATCATAAAACTGGTCTACCCAATTTGCTTAAATACCCTCGTATTGTAAGAGATTGATATGAATGAATAATTTCCAGTTTTTTCTCCTCTATCTATTTCTTCTATTTCTCTTGGGAGTTTACACCTACTCTAAAAGTGCTTAATCTTCTTGGATCTCCAAAAATTTTATCAAATGCCAAAGGCCAAATTTATCATATTCATTTGTCTCTAAGCATATTAATATATGGTTTTAGAAAAGCCAACCCACTGTAATAGGGGGACTAACAATAATGATGTGTCAATGATGACTCAAAATGAATGCTCAATACCGTATTCTGCCATATAATCACATTTTGTATACTTATCAGGTTTATTGTATTTACACACTTATCCTGGAAGATGCATCATTCATCGGGATGTGAAATCAAGCAATATTCTTCTAGATCAAAGCATGTGTGGCAAGGTGGCAGACTTTGGGTTTTCTAAATATGCACCTCAAGAGGGAGATAGTGGTGTCTCTTTAGAAGTAAGAGGAACAGCAGGTTACCTGGATCCAGAGTAAGTTTTGTAGTTCATAATTTCATATCTGTATGTTTGATATGCTGAATGCATTTTCATTACCGAAACAAGCTTTCTTGTTGTGCTACGAATTGCTCTTTTTTGTTTTTTTATAGCTCAAGCCCGCTTTAAGAGGTTTTCTTATTTTAACTAAAACGCATTTAGATACATACGAGGTTCTTTAATATGATTGTTGATCCTTTAATTAGGAAGATTTCTCTCTCTCTCTCTCTCTCTCTCTCTCTCTCTATTTATATATATATATATATATATATATATATATATATATATCCATCTATCTCTATCCCTATCATCTCAGTTTATTTGTTCTCTTTCCATCTTTGCTTTTGCTTATGTTCTCTCTGAGAAGATGTTGATTGCACAGACAGATCGAGAAGGCACATCTCAAACAGTTGGGATATAGCTGGCGACGTGAAGACATTTTTGTGCATATTCTGGCTAGTTGTTATGTTAAAAAGAAAATTGGTTTTCTGATTATACGAAGAGGAAATACAAATACGTGCAATATCGGAATTATATCATTAACCCATCTGGAAGGAATTTTTGGCAAATAAGCTTAATTGTACTAATTGTTTGAACCATCATGTTTGATAAAAATGCAGTTATCTAAAATTACTTAGTTCAGGCTTGATACAATTGGAGGGGGCGGCCAGCCTAGCCATTCGGTCCAGCATGGGCCAAACCAATCATCCGGTTGGGCAAAACCTAGAGCAGAAAACAGGGAAAATTCAGCCCCCCTTTGGGGCCCAGCAAAGTTGTGATTCATTGTGTTAGGAGGAATAAGGAGAGAATTATTTAGGGAAGGATTTTCAGTTTGAATTTAAATAAGAGAGGGAATATTATTAATGGATGTTTCCTAAAATTTGTTTAATTGTTTAAGAAAGTTTCCTAAATCATGTTTAATTGTTTAGGAATGTTCTATTTATGATTTTATATTCTAGAGCTATTTAAGGGGGTTGTTATATAGGGTTTGGAGTATGCTATTGCTGATTTTTGTGTTTTGTTGTAGTTCTTTTCTTTGATGGCTTCCTAGCAGCGTCTAGATTGTTTGGGAGAGCCGATCTACCTCTCTAATCTTAGATCACTTGTATCTTGTCTTTTCCTTCATATATAATCCAATAAAAAGTGTTCTGGAGTGTTCCTCTTCATCGTTTACTTGTTACCAATTTCTATTATGCTGAAATTGAATATTCAGCCAAAATTTTCTTCAAGTTCTGCATCTACTTCGTATCAGCTTGTTTGGTGCTCATATTGTGCTTCTTCCTCGTAGCACATGCAATTCTTATAGTTTAAAGTTCATGCATGCGCTCCTAAGCAGGATGCTTCTCCATTTAGCACCACCACTGCATTGTTTTTTGTCCTTTTGGCTTCTATTTGAGCGTGACATACATAAAAAACTGTTGTCGTTTTTATCTTTAAGCTTTCAGCTGTGGCTACATATTAAAATACCATATTTATGTTGACGGTTATAGACTATTTACATTCTCATATATGAGTGCTTTTATGTCTTCCTATTGAACTAACATGAACATTTTTATTGAAGTAGCTTATGTTGATTGCATTTCCCTAGCACATGTTTATTTATTTATTTATTTATTTAATGGAGATGATATCAAATGAAATTCAAAGGAGAATATAATGAATTTCCTTTATATCCGTGCAGGTATTATTGTACCCAGCAGCTATCAACCAAAAGTGATGTATTTAGCTATGGAGTGGTGCTTCTAGAAATTGTGACCGGAAGAGAGCCTTTAAATATACATAGGCCGCGCAATGAATGGAGCTTAGTTGAATGGGTACGGCCTAAGCCTCAATATCATCCTTTAGATCATGCACATAGTTGGCTGCATTTGTTTTATTAGCTTCCTAGCAGGGTTAACTTCTCTTTTTTCAAGTCGATTCTCCTTTTCTGATTGTAATTTTACCTAAAACATACCTAGTAAAATATACGTGAAGTTAAATTATGCAGAAGTGATGCCTTTCTTTCAGATGACTTCCAGAAAGCATTTGTCCTTAAATAACATCTATCCAAATTACAAAATATGTGAGAATGAATCAATTGAATCATTTGCATCCTTATACTGCCTTGTGATTCAATTGATTAATGATAATCTAGAAATATAGGATTTTATTTTGTTTATTATTTAAATTCTGAATTTATTTGGAATTAGCGGGTGTTTCACATTATCTCATTTTCTCGTAATAAGTTTGTAGGTGGTTTCTACTGTTAGTCGTCAGGTTATTTTTATAAAGAGTCATATTATTCATTATAAAAATCATGATATGATGAATAACACATTGATTTATGGTTCTATTGAATTCCAACAAATATTTGAGGATTTGCAGTTTTGCACCTCCTTGTACTTTGAGGATTCAGCACCTTGCCTTGAAGATTTGGCAATTGATGTATTTAGAATTTAGCATCAGCAGCTTGAGGATAAAATGTTTGGTGTTCCTTTTTATTGAATTTCTTCCTATTTCCTATTATATTTCATAATTTTGATTTATGTCTAGTATCAGGTTGGCATTAGAGCAATGTTTTTTTTTTTTTTCTTTTTCTTTTTTGATCTAATTTTCGTAAACCATGTTGTTTGTTCTCTTGAATGCAATAATTTACTGTAGTTTTACACTGATTTAATCAATTGTTTGTGTTTTTCTTCTCTTCACATGGTTTCTTGAGTCCTCCCTCTCTCAAAAAAATTTCTTGTATTATGCCCTCTTTATCCTGTAAAACTAAAAGAAAAAATCATTAATCCCTATTTTATTGCACACTCCAAACCACATTGTTTATCTCTCTCTCTCTCTCTCTCCAAAGCTATATTCTTTGGAACAACCATATATAAATCAATTATACTCAGTTGATGATCCAACATCAATAAGTCAAAGTCACATCATACTCATCCCTTTGATGGGCATGATTATTGTACATCATAGCCGGAGGGTTTCCCAATTATGCCGTTGTCATCAATGTTTTCAGTGATAAATCGAGTGTAACACTCAAGTTTAACACCAATGATGAGGCAATTTATCAAACTATCATGAGAAGAGTTTCAACATCCAAACAAATCGAAAATGTTCAAGATGCAACTCTCAAGGGTCTCTTCAACTGGCCAAGATTTTGAAAACCTTAAAAAAAATAATTCTAATTCTCGCAAAGCCTCGACAAGTCAAGCAAAAAAAATAGAAGAATTACCAGTTCACTACCTTAAGGCTGACTTGGATGCATATTTATTTCATGAAAATTTTATATGTATTCCATTCTCCCAGTCATTTTTACATAAATGTTGATGCAGGCCAAGCCATTTATCAGGGAGCAAAGGATTGATGAGATGGTTGACCCGAACATAAAGGGTAGTTATCATGCAGAGGCAATGTGGCGTGTCGTGGAGGCCGCTTTGGCTTGCATCGAACCTTTCTCCGCCTACCGGCCAAACATGATCGACATCGTTCGAGAACTCGAAGATGCTCTCATCATCGAGAACAATGCCTCGGAGTACATGAGATCCATAGAAAGCTTTGGAGGTTCAAATCGCTTCCAATATTCGATAGACCGAAAGATACCAGGTCTGGCTCTTACTCCCTCTGAACCATCTTCAGGATTTTGTCAGATCATTCCTGCTCCCCAGCCCAGATAACTGTATAAGAACATGATTGAACATTTCATATTCAGTCCATGCATTTTGCTATCTTCTCACTTAACTACGAAACTTTCTGATACTTTTTTTTGATATCTTGTACTATAAATGGTCAATAACGGATCATTTGTATTGAGTGGACAATAACCTTGTTTCATTCTTTCTTAGAGAATTATTTGTACAGTTCTTGTAGTTGATTTTTACTCTTCCAGGTTTATACTGATGCGACCTTCAGGACTGTTATTGCAAGATGAGTTTTTTTTTTTTTTTTTTAGCTAAGAATTCCATGCGATCTCCTCAGTTTTTTAATTAAATTCCAGTTCATTGAAGAATTTGTGAAGTTCAGCTTTGTTTCTGGTTTATGTTCAACTTTTTGTTGGCAAGGGTTGTAAATTGGGGGAAGTAATAGATATTAGGGTTGGTTAAGTAGTTTCAGGTTTCATTTGAGACAATTTTTTTATTTATGTTTGACCACATTTTTTTCTCTATTTTCCAAAAAAGTTTATGTTATGAAATTATTTTCTATATTTTATAAAATAGTTATTTTTTATAGCAGCTTTATAATCACTATTGAAAAAGTTGTGGCGGTTATTTTTTAAAAAATTTTCACTAAAATTTTATTTTAAGAAGCAATAAAAAAGCCGTCCCAAACTAAATCTTAATCTTTTGCAACTTTTACCGTCCCAAAATTAAGAGCATGATTAATTTGAAAAAAATCATAAAATGCATGTGGTTTAAAGGCTTCGTTTGGAACAGTTTTTTATTATTTTTTAAAGTAACTTTTAAGTTTAAAAATCTTAAATTTTATGCTAAAAAGTTGTTTTAAGAAGCAACAAAAAAGCGGTCCCAAACGAAGCTGAAGTTTTGAAATTAAGTATTCAGTTCTGACATTTTTCTTATTGCTTTCTAAAGTAGCTTTCTAATACTAAAATTTTAATTCAATAAATTTTTATACTAAAAATTTATTTTAGCAAACTCTCCAAAAAAAAAACCTAATATTATAGGACTATATCATATATTTGTAATCAAAATAGAAATAATATCATATCAAGTGGGATTTAGTTTCATAAATTTCCTAAGGGGCTTTTTGGCAACAAGTGGGATTTAATTCTAAAAAAATACTTGATATGTCAAATATTAAATCTTGAAAAACTATTTTGTAACATATTGCATGATTTATGTCAATTAGAGGATTTAAATATGAAGAAGATAATTATAAATTAAAAATAAATGTATAATAAAAATTAAAAAATTAATGTGTTATGAATTTAATAAGATGTTAAGTATAAATTACTTATTAATTATTATTTACACTAATAATTAGTAAGTACAAATTACTTATTAATTGTTATTTACACTATCAATTATGTTATTACTAAATCCCGGATTTAACCCGTAAATCCAAGATTTACCAAATCCCGAGATTTAACGCGCGCTGTAAAACCATTTGGCTGGATTTAGAATAAGGCTTCATTTGGGACGATTTTTTTATTACTTTCTAAAATGGAGTTATTATTAAAAAAATAAAAAAATTTGTACTAAAACTCTATTTTAGAAAAAAAAAAAAAACTGTTCCAAACCAATCCGACTTAAGTCGATATAAATCCGATACCAAACAGCCCCTACGTCCGAACTCCGTTCAACGACGTCGGATTGGCGCCAAAATTCCCCCACTCTCGTTCATTTTGGGGCCGCCCGCCTCGGCCTCTAGGGTTCGCTTTTCCTCCATTGCCGCTTCGACGTCGCCTGCTTCGTCTGAAGTAGAGCTGTTCCCTTCGGATCGGAAGTCACGGATATCTACCTACCGTGGAATGGAGAGTTTCGATGAAGAGGACGGTCTAGCCGTTCCCGTGGCCGAGAAGTCATCCTCTCCCTTCCCCAAGCCAAAACTCAAGCGCCTTAAAAGGGCTACATCTCCTTCGCTTCTGCGTCCATTAGCGAACCCGGGGGTTTCCGATGATCCGACGAAGATTTCAGCTGTTGCCTCGGAACCCGGTGAGATTCGTACGGGTACCTCCTGTGAGATGGAGGAGGGTTTAGGTGAGGAAACGGCGCAAGAGCTTGATCCTTTGTTCGCGTATGGGAGTGGTGAAGGGATTTTGGGTGATTCGTATGTACAAGAGGTGGATGTGAGTGAAGTTAGAGGCGGAAAGGGCGAAGAGGAAGGGGCTGTGGAGGAATTAGTGAAGGAACATAACGTGAAGAGGAGACTTAGATTGGAAGATGAAGGTGGAGATCCGAATACGAGGAGGAAGAAAAAAGGAAAGTCTAGGAAGCTCGAAGGCCCGGATGAGATTCCGAAGGAATCTGTTCGGGAAAGAAAAAGGCTTGAGAAGGTTTGTGAGTGAACTTTGTTGATTTAATTTTGATGTATTGTTTTTGATAATATTGCACATTTGAAGATTGCACTTCCTTGGTTCTGACGAAAGCTTTGCCAGGCAAGGAAGGCGGAGTTGGAGCTCCTACATGCTGAATCACAGAGGCTTCTGCGAGGTAACAAACCGGCTATACTAAGTCAATTCTGAGAATTCGGAGAAGTATATGTGGAAATTCATTATGAATTTACGGTGCAGAAACCAGAGATGCAGCGTTTAAGCCTGCGCAGCTCATTCAGAAACCAATATCTTCAGTGTTAGAGAAGATCCGTCTCCGGAAATTAGAAATATTGAAAAGGTTTAGTCTATATATATCTTTCTTTCACTATTGCAAATAATGTTATCAAATTATCGTTAAATGCTTGGATCCGAATTGAAATGTTTTTTTGTTTTTTGTCATAGTTGTAACATCCTTAGTTCGCTGCCTTCTGTTATTGAAACTCATTGTGCTACGGTGATTGATGGTAACTCAGACGCACTGAAGGGTCAAAGTGACATAAAAGAGACTGAAGTGAATGCATGTGTGGTAGGTCTCTGGAATTATTTTTGCTGGTTTTCAAATGGAACTTTTATCTTTAAGATCTCATCTATACTAAAGGAATGTTGGACGAGGATTCATAAAACCTATACCTCAAATAGTTAGGGTAGGACTAATTATGATTTTGATCGCTGCACATACTCTTGATTTTGCTTTACTGGGATAGTGGAAAGCCAGTAGTGTTACTTTATAAGTTAACGTGAGTCAAGGACTATATTTTTGTGGGGTGGATCAAGATGATCGATTCCAAACAATTTCTTTTATGAGATGACTATTCGCTCTTCTTTTGAAGACTATCTGCATTTTTCTATCATGTGGGAGAAGATTGCCAACTTTATATTGGAAAAAACTGCCAGGAAAAGGATGACATATATGGATTGTAAATGAATTTAATATATTTGGTCATGGTCATATTTTAACTGCTAATTTACCGAAGAAGTTTCCTTCTTTACTATGCGTGTATATTTGGTCTAATAGATAATGTTTCATCACTTGAAGCCGCGCTGCTTATGCATGATGCTTCATCTCTACCCTTCAGTTTCATTTTGTAAAATGCTACTTTATTGGGTTTCTTTTCAGATCATCATAGGTCATAACAACATGAAAGAATATAAGATCAGGCACTTTTATGGCAAATTAATTTCTGTTTAATCTGTCTAAATTATTCATTTTGTTTTATAAACTCATGTTTTTAAAATCTTATTTTCAAGTAGTACGGAAATAATGTGCTCCCATTTTTGATAAGTGCAGACCATTGATGTTGGCTCCGAAGGCACATGTCAGAATCTCATTAATGATACACAGGTAGCCTGTTATGTTTAAAACATGGGAATTTCTATTACTTGTTATATAGTTCTGCCATGCATGAACTACTGTTGTAACTGTAGTTTTGATTGTAGGTAGACAGAAGTGGTTCCCAGTTAAGTACTGGAGGTGATAAGCTGTTCAATTCTCAGGAAGCTAGCCCTCCTTCATACCCAAGTACCTCTAGTTTAAAGATTGATGATGGTGGCAATGATGATGGTGTTGCCAGGTCCAGTGATAATGACATGTAAGTGCATGAAAAAGCTATAATGTTCATCTCCTAATATCTTATCATAAGCATGGTTCATTTTGCTTGCTTATTTTAGAAAGCTTCATTTGGTTTTTATATTCTTTCTTTCATAGACAGCGAAATGAGTAACTCTTCATAATTTGCAGCTTATCCAAATTGTTATATGATCATGAAAACAAGTTCCGCTATCATTAGAATTAGCAATGTTTGGTTGCTCTATTATTTTAAGTGTGTTCAGTGCAATTGCATTTTGACTCATTTCATCAGCTTATTTTAGCTCTATCAATTCACTAAAGTTTATAACTCTGTTTATACAAATGATAGTTTCTTTGGTATGTGGAGGAGGCATGCATCTCAAATAGGAGAACTAGTGGCGTAAGTTGTTCATCAAGTGTATTATTCAATCAAAAGCATTTCATATCAAAGTTGATAATCTAAATGATGAATTATTTCTAAATTATAATATCAATTTTGAAGCAATCCACCCTTTCTTCCTCTTCATTCCTTATTTCTTCTTTTCATTCTACGCAACTCTAGGATCACCATCTTATTGAATCAACATTTTATAAGTACAACTCATGATCTTCTTCATTTTTTTTGCCTATTTTCAGCTTTATAGTTTAAAGAATGAGTTTCTAAATCTTTCAATTATCTAACGTCATATCTACAACATTTGTCTTTAGACTCATAATTTAACATCTTCCTTTTCTCCATTTAACATCTTCCAAAATAACCAAAAAAAAACTTATATTTGTTCTTTAGACTCATAATTTTAATAATATTCCTCCTCGTCCTTAAATTTCGCATACTCATATAACAGTTTCTTACCTTCATCTGTTGTATCTTTCCTTTCTCACCTTTGTTTTCCTTTTTAGGATCTTCGACATTTGTCTCCATTTAGTTTCTCCCATAATAATTAGAATGCCTTATATTTGGAACTTTTAATCATACTTAATTATTCCACTATTCGGGTCATTTGAACTCATGAATGATTTTGGTGTTGATGGAATCTCTTTTGATGAGCATGGCATTTTGTTTGTACATTTACTGAAGTCACAGTTTCTTAAAATTAAAGTTCATATAGACCTGTAAATTAATTTCTGAAGTTTTTAGATTCTCACTTTGAGCATTCTGTAAATTAATTTCTGAAGTTTTTAGATTCTCACTTTGAGCATTTTTGAGTTCGAGAGAATGTGCCAAATTTTATGCGTGATTAGATGAAACGTTAGGAGCCATATCAATTATGTTACCCAATTAAGGCTAAATCCCAATAAAGCAATATATTTGATAATCTTCAACGCAAGACAAAATTTTAAGTTTTGCTACCTTTATTTAAGGTTGTTCAGCATGACAACACAGCGCAGTACATCCTATAGCAAGTGTAAAATGCATTGAAATTGCCTTTGTATGTGGGTCGCTTTGTTCTATGAATGCTTTCAAGCTATTGCAATTTAATATCTGGCCAATATGAAATACTATTACTAACTCAAATTGGATACAAAGTGTTAATGTGATCTTCCTGTGGATTCCCAAATTATATCCTTTGATATTCAAAATATTTTACCGTAATTGTTGCTTACTTTTTTCATCCTAAAGAACCCTTGAAAATATTCTTTTTTAATTAAGACGGTCAAGAGCCACTGCATCTCAAATTATTCTGAATTTAGATGCTTGATGGCATTTCATTCAGTTCATCGTCCGAAGAAGACAGTGACAAGGAAAACATTGGTCCTAGGGCTTACAGTGTTGTGAACAAGGACTTATCTCCTAAAGATGACATTGCAAAAGCTTTTCTTGATGTTGAGGCTGAAGAAGAAGATGATAGCGATTGTGATTTGTTGAGGTTTCAAGAAAATGAAGAGGAAAGTGATACTGATGAACATGAAGAACTTGATGACCTGATTGCTACAGGTTATAAGGAGGCACCAATAGACCAAGAGAAACGCAATGAACTTCATCAAAAGTGGCTTGAGCAACAGGATGCTGCTGAAACGGACAATGTTATCCAAAGGTTAAAATCTGGTCGTCAAGGACTTGGAAAACCAGCTTTAATTCATGGTGATCATGATAATCACGATGCGAGTGATAATGATGATGATGAAGACAATGATAGTGATGATGAAGCCAAATATAAGAACCATCCTATAGATACATCTCGTCAAAGTTTGAAAAAGGCTAAGCAAATGATTTCTCACATGTTTACTGATGCTAACGATGTTTACATACCATCAGATGATGAAGAGACAGAAAAGAATCTCATTCGTCAACATATTAAGCATAGTGTAAGTAGCTTTCTTTAAAAGTTTAATTTCCTTAATATCATTTGTTGATGGTGACTTGAAGTAGTAGAATTGCCTCTTTGGTTAACTGGTCATTTCTTACCTGGAACACTCTCAATGTTTGCCTTTATGATTTTTAAGGCATTATAACTTCAAAACCTTTGTCATATCTGTTGGTGCAATTAAATCTAAGAAATCACTTTAATTTGAATGTTTCGTTTATTTATTAATGAAGGTGGAAGTCATAACATTTTGTCAGCTGTGTATTATATGTCTCTCTGTAGTTTGAATTTGTTTTGAAATCTATATGGTCCTTGTATCATAATAGATTTAACTAAGGTAACTGGTTTATTAATATTAAAACCACGAAATTTCCAAAATTGACAACCTTATAACTCTCATGTTTTGTTGTCACATTATTGATCAATAAAATAATGCCTTTTTAAGTTGTTAATCTCAGACTTGGACATACATTGCTTTTTATTTTTAATTGATTTTTTATTTAACTTTAGCTTAGGGGTTATTTAGTATAATGAAGGTGAGTTTAAAGTATTATAAATGCAGGGGTTTTTGGAATTTTGGTGTTTGAGTTGATGAAAAAAGAATGCAAAGTAAGATTTTGGTGAAATTTCAAATTTGCTATATGTAGTTCATTTTTAATTTTAAAACTCTTTTGTATTCGGACAAATTTCAAATACACTACAAGCTAATTCTATTGTTGTTGCCTACCCACCGCCGGCCACTTTTCTGCCGTGATCACTGGCCACCTCTACCGTAGCCTGTTGTCACCACTGCCTGCCACCCCCATCACAACCGTTCATTGACCACCGTTGCCTTTTGGTTTTACATTGCATTCATTTTGCTTCAAACCAAACAAATAAAAGCAATCACATGCATTTATTTTATGCTCATCCAAACAACTCCAAATATTTCAAGTACATTACATTTTTATTCTATTTATTTTACTTTGCTTTTTTTTTTCCAGCAAACTGTATCATTTTCATTCTACATATATTTTTGCATCTTTGCCCATGTTGTTGGAGCGCTTGCACATGAAAGATTATTATCAGTTTTTCTCTCTCATCACGAGTTTTCACTTATGCAAGATATTTCCTGGTTGTCCTAATCAGCATGCACTTTTTTTTTGTTTGGAGTAAAATGGTAACTTTTTTTGACAGTTTTAGTCCACTCCTGCATTGGCAGGCTAATATAGCGTTTTTTCTTTCAGTTCATGAATGCCAGATGGATACATATTCAAATTATGTTCTGAACTTTTTTTATACATTTGAACTCTTCTTACTTGGTCACTGGGGTATTATGACATGCTAATTGTTTTATCTTTGTTGGAGTTTCTTCTAATTTAAAACCTCTTATGAAGCCATTTATAACCATAAGACCACCCAATGGTTTCTTCTTGCAAAAAGTTGGTATTTTCATCGTGCTATTGATTTAACTTTCTGTCTCATGCGGAATTAATGAGGAAAATCTATCCAGAAATCCAATTGTGTATATATGCGTATGCATGTACACTGTTTACATTTGTATGACAAACAGGAAAATAGATGTTCATCACTGCTAGCTAGTTATTGAAGTTCTAGCTAAGCAATCCGGACAAAAAAAATTATAATAGAATAATAAACTTACGTTGACTAAAATTGTGATATTTAAATTACAATAATTCTGCTTGTTTAAATTCAGGAAGAACCTTCCTTCATAACTCCAGTGGAAGATGAAAGTTCTCGAGAATTTTTTAGTCTTATAAAGAAGTTGAACATAGCCCCAACTACTAAGAAGAGAGGAAAAGCTTCAGCACGTAAGCAAGCCTTATATTTCTTCTCTTTTTTTTTTTCAGCTGTAACATTGGCTTGAATTTTTTGTTAATTATTGATCGCTTGCCCTCCAGCAGCTCTCTTTGATTCTGTTGCTTTGTCCGGAAGCAGCAATAGTTCTTCGAAGGTAACCTATAAACCTATAAAAATTGCTGATAAATGAAGTCCAATGATATTTTCCTCATTTCATTAATAAAATGTGCTTAGCTTTTTCGCAAAGATGCAAGAATAATATCGCCATATTCTTTGAAAACAATTAGCCATTCTGTATTATATTAAAGTATTAAACATAAAAAAAAAAGTATTAAACATGATGGTGGTCACCTTAGGCCCTAACGTTCACGACGAGGTACACAATGAAACATACAAAAAGCTATAAATCATAGATCACCAACTTTCAATTTTATCAAAGATTAATAACCTTTGATGCAAAAGCTTCATACATGCTTATTTTTTTAAAATAATAACCTAAAAAATCATTAAATTTTGATATCTCACAAGAAAACTAGGAATTTAATTGTAGATGTGGCATTACTAACAAATTGTTCATAATGTATTTTTTAAGATCCGATGAAGGCCTCATGGCGTTAGATCACTCCTAATCTCTTGTGATAGATCTTTGATAAAAAATATAATGATAACAAGGTAATCTTGAGACAAAACATCTTTAAATATAAAATTTATAAACCTATCATAAGATTCAAACATATAAGAATTATTATACAACCACTAAAATGATTATTCCCTAATATTCTCGGGATGATATAAATAATTTTCAAGTTTATATTTTTAGGTTAGCACCTGTAGGTTTTAGTTTTATACCATTTTAGAATTATTTAGCTCATTCAATTCTTTCAAAGTCAAATATATTGTAATACTTTAAGAAATATTCCAAATCATCAAATTTGGGTGTGTAATTTGATCCTCCTAATAGATATGATGTGCTTGTTCAGAATCATAACTTATTTAATTTTGTTTAATTTGTATATTTTAATAATTTTAAGTTAAGTGTTGCGGAGATGAGGATGCTCAGGTGGATGAGTGGCTTTACCCTTAGAGATAGGATATGAAATGAGCATATACGTGAAAAGGTTGGAGTAGCTCCAGTAGAAGATAAGATTATAGAGAGTCGACTTAGATGGTTTGGTCACATAAAACGGCGGCCTTCCAATGACCCAGTTAGGAGAGTAGAGGTATTAGATTTGACTTATGTTAAGAAAGATAGAGGCAGGCCTAAAAAGACCTGGTTAGAAAATATTAGGAATGACTTTTCTTTATTGGATTTAAACGAGAATTTGACCTTTAATAGGACACAATGGAGAAAAAAGATTCATGTAGCCGACCCCACGTAGTGGGATAAAGGCTTGATGTTGTTGTTGTTGTTGTTGTTTTGTATATTTTAATAATTTTTTTAATTAATATGATTATCATGCCACACTTTTAGCTAATATAATAATTAAAAAGTGAGCTTTGATACAAATTTGATGTAAAAAACTTGGGATCTTTGGTTCTATAATGTAACTTAGTATAATATGCATAATTGAACACACAAAAAGCCACACTTCTCAAGGTACCAATTAGCAAAAATAAGTCTCCTTGGATGAAAAAGCAACAAATATGCGTGCATAAATCTAAACAATGATATAATTGTATCGTTAAAACTTGAAATCCAAAAAGAATTGAAACAATTATAAAACTCCATGATGGTCAAGATTAACACCACAACAAATTTTAACGCATCAAAATTTGGCAAAATTTCAATCTCACATACAAATCAAATACTAAACAAGTTGACTGAAGAAACTAAGGTAGAAATCACCCATTTGAAGATTACTGCCACACATCGATATGAGGAGAAGCAGCCTGCAAAAATTGTTGTCAAAACCTATAAAATACTAAAAAGATCACAGAAATATCACCCACAATTGTTGATAGGGAATATGAAATTTATTGAATCATTGAATGAATATTATATACATTCTGGGTCTTATTTATAACGCAATAAAATCTAAATAAATCAACTTTTAAGGATCTATTAGTATCTTCTCAACTATAACAAAGCTTAATACATTTTGCATGAATTTCAACAGCAGATGTGAAGTCCAACTCTCTAATTCTCGGTTCCATCACGTGGTAGAGTGAGTCGCCAACAAGGAATGGTAAGAATTTGTAGCGTTAAGCAACGAGTATTGGGGAAATAGAGGTATAGTTAGTGGGAAACGAAGGCTCAAAGGGAAATAATAGGAATAGTAGAAATTATCGCTGAGATAACGATGCCAGAGGGAAATGGAAACAGCGTGAATAACAAAATTCAGCGATATGATACAGCAGAACACAGTAAAAGTTAGCAAACATTCATTATAAAAATAGTGGCGGTGGTGGGAAATATAGACGGACAAATGTTTAAAGGTTTATTTGGAATATGATTTTCATTATTTTATCTTTTAGATCATAACCACACATACATTTGGTTATTGATTTTCTATTACTTTTTAGAAATTTTTATAGTGCAAAACTGTTTTTAATTATTAGATATGCCAGAATATGGTTGTTGTAAGAAAACTGCCATTCAAATTTTTTTAATCGAAATATTTGTTATATAGCTTCTAAAAAAATTATTTTTCTCGCTACTATGATTTCCTTAATGAAATGCTACAATTGCCCAAATTGACTCTTAGGTTTTGTTTGGGATGGCTTTCTTACTGCTTCTTAAAGCAGCATTTTAGTACTAAAATTAATTTTTTTGTACTAAATAGCTGCTTTAAGAAGCACTAAAAAAGCCGTCCCAAACGAAACCTTAATGTAAATCTTCTCAATCTCAATAGTTATTATATTAAACTTGAGCTCCATATGGGCTGAATTTGAAATTCACTGGGCATTTCAAATCCAACTCAACAACATGATCAAAATGATTGAGATTACACAACAAATAAAAAAATCATCTTAGTAACGCTTATATTAATATTCCTCATGAGTATATATGTTGAGATTTCTATGAAAATATTAGTGAATGACAGTATGCTTTCTATTGCATTGGTGCATATTACTTCCATATAGTTCTTTTTCATCTCTATTTTATTAGAAATTATTACGTGCGGAGTCTAGACGTAGAGTTGTGTCCAGACTCTGCATATCTAATAAGTATTTATTGAGTATTTTACTAATTATTTACTGTGTATTTATTAAGTATTAAATATACAGTAAATATATGCTTAGCAAATACGTAATAAATACTCAGCAAATATGCAGTAATATAAAAAATTATATTTTGATCTCGTATGAACATTTCATTAGAGTTCAGACACGACTCTAAGTCCAGACTCCGTACGAAATAATTTCTCCTATTTTACTTGCTAAATTTGTCTTTCATATCTCTGATATGTGAAAGTTATTATCTGTTTTTTTTTTTTTTTTGTTGGTGGGGCTTTTAGGCTGAAATGGAAAGTATGTCTGCGAAGAATTCCATGAATGACAAGCTCGGTTCAAAACTGAAATCATCTGTTATTAAAAGAACGGTGCAAAGTAACTCAGAGAGTGGTTCTTCTCTTTTTAACATTCTACGGCAATCATCTATTCATTTCGACAAAAAGTTGGAGAGCAAAAACTCTGTTAGCAGTCATGTCCTTACTGAAAGTCAAGCTGCTTACAAATTTTCTGCCTTCTTGAGGAGAAATTCAAAGATGGATTCCAGAACTTGATTCTCCTATGCAGAATGTTAATCTATTCTTTTGTTTTATGTTCAAACATGTTCTATAATTTAGTGCAAAAAAATTATCAAAATTTAACTTTTAAAAGCAATGAATGAGTAATAATGCAAAAGAACCTTGCTTTTAACTTGCGTTGAAAGATTACATCAAGGATCAGCTTTAAGCTCATATCTTTTTGCTTTGGTCATGGATGTTCTCCCTGGGCATTTGCAAGAGGTTGTACTCTCGTGTATGTTTTTGTTGATGATTTTCTTCTTGTTGACAAATTAGAGAGAGAGAGTTGAAGGTAAACTGCAATTTTAGATGTCAATTTTAGATAGTAAAAGTTTTCGTTTGAGTAGATCTAAAATCGAATGTATGGACTATAATTTTAGTAGGAATATAATTAGTGATGGATTGTGATTTTGGGCGATCAAGTCATTAATAAGATAACACATCTTATATATTTTGAGTTTATTGTTTAGAGTGATAGTGGATCGTTGAAATGGTGGAAAGCATCGGGTTTGTGTAATAGAAAAGTCCCTCTTAAATTTAAGAGAAAGTTCTATAAGATGGTGGTAAGACTTGCACTGTTTTATGGTACATCATATTCGCCATTAAAAGAAATGTATAATATTAAGTGTTGTAGAGATGAGTATGTTCAGGTGGATGAGTAGCTTTACTCTTAGAGGTAGGATACCAAATAAGCCTAAATGTATAATAATTTTATCACCAAATTTTCATCATTACTGATTAATTATTTTTATTTAATATTTTATATGCACAAATGTAAGTATTCATAAATGCCAGATAATTGATGTTGTAGTGAAGAAATAAGCATATTTAACATGATTATTTTTTATCAAATAATTTATAACAGTTGCCAGTTGTTTTATTATACTAATCTTAATAAATTATTTCTTGATTTCTACCATTTCAAGTACTGCTAGACTCTCAATCTTATTAAAATTTCACACGTCATTGCAGTAATTCCATCATCGCCTTCGCAGGCCATCTATCTTATTGCCAGCTTCACACACCATAGATTCATTAATACCTATAAGATCTTACCTATCATTATGATCTCCAAAGGAGTAATTATTAGGTGCGGACATCACACCCAGAGGTGTGTTCGGATTATTGGATGCACTGCGTACGTTCTGCTTACATTCTGCATATTTGTAGATACCCAGCAAATAAGCAGTAAATCTTCATAATTAAATATTTGTTGCTTATTAACTACAATACGCAGTGTATACTCAGTAAATACGCATAACGTAGGCAGAACTTAAGCATAGAATACACAGTATCCGGACGCATCTCTAAGTGTGATGTCCGCACCTAATAATTACTCCATTCGAAGAGGTCCCATTGCAACCAATTCATCCCATTCTAAATTTCACATATGAGATTTTTATAATGACCTAAGATTTTATCTTGATGAAGTGAATGGGGGTAGTATATTATATAAATTAAATACATAAATGATGAAGTCTTTATGTTAAATTTAAAGGCGAAATAAATTTTATTTTATATAAAACATACATTCAAGACGTTACATTTAGAGTTTCAAACATGATTTTTTTTTTTTTAACATGATATCTACCCGTTGTCACTATTTAAGAGATGTTTAGCAACATAACTAATCGCTCTACGAGCCTATCAGTAACCAACTTATTAGATGTAAGACCCATAGTTATTTTTTTTTTCCACTTAAAAGGACATGAATAGAGTTTACATGCTAGGCCAAGTGAGATTTTCACTGAACTATGGACAGTGATTTCTCGTAAAAAATTTGGCGACCAGCTAAGCCGGTGGGGTATCATTTCCATTCAGCCAAAGTCCGAACGTTCCGATGAATAGAGAATTCAACACGCTTTGCGAGACCGCGAATGGAGACCCGCACGGTTTGTTATAAAATGGAGGGTCAATGGGGGTGAATTTGTTCTTCGGTGTGATTACTATAAAGCACCGACCTTTGAAAGCCCAGAAATCTGTGAATTCCTTTTAGGGTTTCTGTTTTTCCCGTTTTTATCCAACCTCCATCTTCCATCTGCTGCAGTTCTCCGCCTTCGCACTTTTCTTTTAAAAACCCTATCTTCTTCCACTAGTTGTCGCCTCTCTCTCTCTCTCTCTCTCTCTCTCTCTCTCTCTCTCTCTAGCTTCGCTGTTGGTGCTGGTCGGGAACAGTGGGAGGGGAGATTGGATTGGTGAGACTCCAGTAACTTTTTTTGCGGCTTTTGAGGTGAGAATCGTTTGTTCCTCCTTTTCGAACTGATTCAGCGTAATGTTTCCATTGAATAGTTTTCGGTTTTGTTGTTTTCTTGTTACGGCTTGGTTGGTTTAATGTCATCAGGTTTGGAGTGTTATTTGGATTTAAAATGTCGCTCAGTTAAGAATTTTACAGATCAAGCTTGAAAGTTCAAACTTGCTTGTTTATGTATCTAATACCTAAACTTCATTGTTACTTGTAACACTCTGTCGCCTCCTTGTAAAATTGTTTCCTTGGCAGACTTGAAGAATGATCGTGGTAGAGTTTTGTAAATTGTGCTTTTTGGGAGAATTTCTGATGGTGATTTGCTATAGATGTCGATGGGCATGAAGGAAGGATTTTAAGAAAATAGAGGACTAGGAATCTGCAGGAAATGATGGATTTAGCAAGCCAAGGGAGGAGGTGAGTAGGAATGGTGGAAGCTGAGGTCTTCACCAGTGTTTTCGGTGGCGGCTTTAGTAGCGGAGGTGGCAAGCCATGGAAGAGGAGGGCGGAGAGAGGATATCGAGGCTTAATGTGGAGAGGGTAATAGAGCCAAATGGAGTACTAGTTTTGATGTGTTCAAATGATTTTGAGTATTATATATGCAAATAATGAAATTTGGGCACTTGATATGTACATAAGGAAGTTTAAAGTGTTTTTTATGTAAATACATCATAAATTTTAGACATTGTTATGTTCTATAATAGTCAATGGTGATTATCATTATTTATTTATATTTAACATCAAATATTCTGAGTATTTGTTTTTACTTTTAGAAGAGTATGATAAATGACTTTATGAGGTATAGATTGATTTAAAAAAGTCAAGTGGAGTTGGCTTTAAACAATATGCATAAGGAAAATTTTTAGGTTCAAATGAGATAGAGATTGAGGTTTAAAAAGCAATGAGGGGTTTTATTGTGGTTTGGTTGATGAATATTTTCAATGTAAACTTGAAAATGATAAGGATATAAAATGATTTAAGAAAAAACATATTGAGACCAATATTTAAGAACAAAGGAGCTATAATTTATTATTCATATAATGAAGGTGTAAGGATGAGTGTGGAAAATGAGATGTCACAGTGGTTTGTCTCTTATGTTTAGATCAAATTTATTACGGATACAAGTCCTGAAAAAATATTTGCATAGAATAGGGTTAACACTTATTGCATGAGTCAACAAGAATGAATGGAGAATACAAATTCATAATGCTAAACCTTAATATGATTAGCCTAACAATGATGATTATCATGAAAGCTTACTCTTGGATTTTTTTTTTTTTAATCTTGGGTTTCTCTTGGTTAATTCTATTTTTTTCTGATGATTCATCCATTTAATTTCTTGCTTTTGCAGTTTTTGGTTTAAAAGATTTAGAGGTTTATGTTTAAATTTCAAAAATTGATTTCTAGACTAGATGATGTGGCTCTTAGAACCATTCTTTTGTGTCAAAGCCTTGCTTGGCTTGCTTTGATGTTGGGCAATGGTGCAAATTTGTAGTGCTCTCACTTTATTCTGATTGTGTTTTTTTTCTTCAAAATCATTGACTATCGATTTCTGCAAATGTTTGGTTATCAGATTTTCTTCATCATGTTCAGATTGGTCAGAGAAAGCCAAATTATGTTATGTTTTTCTTAAGATGATGCCCATTTCATTGTTTTCAAGACATAAGAGATTGCATACATCATTAGAACTTTTTGGAGGGGATACAAATGTGATCTTTGGCAGGGCTTGGCTTTTGTTGTCTCAGCCAGTTTCCATTGTTGGTATTCTCCCACAGTTTGGAGAAAATGCTATCAGGAGTTTTCACACGTTTGATCAAAGGGCCACATTTTCTTTTATTGGAACTCTATCTCGTACATTTTCTGTTCCTTCGATAACTGGCCCTCATTGTCAGTCCTGCATATATCACGTTGAAACGCTCTCCTCTGGGCCAACAAAAATGTCTTTATTTAGTTCTTTCCAGAGGAACATAATGTATGCTTGTCATCAAATGTTGGGCAGATCTGAATCGGTTTCACAAAGTTTTGGAATTGTGGTTAGAAAAAGTGGGCATTCACAGATTTCTATGATTCGGTCTGGTATCTTCTATAGCTACAAATGTTTTGATTATTGCAGAAGCATCAGCAGGAGCTTAGATAGCCAAGAATTATGGTTTATGCGAGAGGCTTTGTCCCCAAGGTCAGGTGCAAGTAGAATAAGTTGGAAGCATGGCCAATGTATGGAACAAAGTGCTAAGGACTTTCAGCTATTGCATATTCACCCTTATTCTGTCTGTGCTGCTCAAAATGCATTTTTTGATGGTGCACCACAGGAAGACCAAGTTAAGAACTATATGGTAGACCCTGACAACAGGTACATATGTTGCAGCCAACACCAACTCTCTCTCTCTCTCTCTCTCTCCCCCCCTTAAGCCTAAGCGAATGTCCCAAGGCTACCAAGAGGGGGGTGAATTGGTAGTTTAAAAATCTAAATTAATTTTTTTTTTTTTTATCTCCTAACATAAATAACATATTTGTTTGAATTTCAGACCTGTTTAGCAAACTATTCCGAATTTTTTATCATTGGGCATTCTACTTTTTATAACCATATTTAGTAGTTTATGATTGTAGGCCATACTCATCATCTAACCGCACTTTGAAGCACGTTAGTGTTGGGTAACAAGAAAGAACGTATAAAAAGAAATTTTCTATTATAGTGTATGCACTTCAAATGCTAGTTATATTCTAGTATTGTTTCTTATTTGACCTTATATCACTTGACCTTTCTTAAAGTTTCATATGTATTACACACTCTACATAGCTTTTTATTATATCTGATTCCGACGACTGAGCCAAAAACTTCTTTTAGAGGGGACCCAAAAAAATTTTTAAGAAAAATATTCTTTCAACTTTTTTCATCCGAGCTTCGGACCGTCAATGGCAGTTTAAATTTTTTTTTAATGATTAAATACTAAATATAAGATGAAAAATACTTACAATTTATAAAACCCGCTCTTTATTTTCTGGAAAAGAATGCAATCTAATTTTTCTTTTTCAATATAAATGATTTTCAACTCCTGCTGGTTCACCTGACAAAACTAAAGTCAATTTTAAGAGCTTGAAAATAAGAGGATATAATATATCTTTCTTGTTCTGTATCATTGTCTCAGCAAAATACGCAATATCTTTTAACAATGAAAATTATGGATCAGATTACATATCCATGATATGAGTTTCCAACTGTTTATCAAGAATCACCAAATGAACAATACTAAAATCACATGGATAAAGATGTGCCATTTGAATTAACGTCTTTATTAAATGTGCAGAAAGAAGTATTTGGATTCAAACAGGCATTAGAGAGAAGTAATTCAATATTTGCCTTTGTGAAACAATTATTCAATTTTTGTAGTTGCATATCAATAATTGTGTACAAAATTTTAACTCGAAAATGATATAAATGTGTCATATCCCGAGCTCTACGACAAGGTTGTCCTCGAGCAATCCATCTATCATTCATATGGGGAATATTTATTTTTTGTTGCTCACAAAAAAAAAGTTACTTTAGTAGAAAAGTCTTTCCATTTATTATCTCTCATATCTTGCAGCCTTATTTTACATTTCAAACAAAAAATATAGTATTTACAATGTCTTGCTAGTTGCTCTTTTCTTTATAAAACTTGTGGCAATTCAGCAGTTAGACCAAATATATCTTACATCAAGAGTAAGCAATATGTAAACTCAAAAGATTGCATTGATTTTAATAATGTGAATGCCTCACTTTTTTTTTTAGAACTTGCACCATCTTCTAAAATAACTTCTAAATTATCAATTACTGAGGAGAACATTAAAATCAATCTTACAATTGATTCATAGTGTGAACCTCATCGTGTATTGGCTGATTGCCTTAGAGTTATTTATTGATTCAATCCTTGTCCTGTTTCAAGTTCTCCATATTGTAATTCTACTAACGTCTTCTCCCGTTGTTTATCTCAAAGCTGGTCACGATGCTTGCACTTGTCTTGTTACATGAGAGCAATTTAAGTACAATTCAATTTATGAAGCTTATAATAAAACTTTCACTTGTAAATTTCTTAATGAAATTATTTTGTAATGTTAGTAAAAATTATTTTGCCTTTTGAAATTGTGCTTTTATTTGTTAAGTGCGGCATATGTTTTCTCTATGTTTTGTGTATGACGTTTGTTGTCAATGAAATTGTGCTTTTATTTGTGAAGTTAATTTCGATTTCCGACCGCTTGTTTCAATTCAATTTCAGAACTTTGTATGCTAACATATGTAGTCAAAACGAGTTGATAGCTTTCAAAAAAGTGAGCAGAGTTTAGAAAGGGAAATGAAGTACCTTCTGCTGCTTAATACTGAGTCTTCCTCCAAGTACCAGGAATCAACAATCAAAAGGTTCAATAAGATCTACTCGCCACCATGAGTCACGTGTAATATGAAAAGAACTGCCAAAATAAGTCAGATTGTTATAATCTAGAAAAATATGGATCAACGAAAACTTACACAAAATTGTCAGACGACAGGTATAAACATTTATCAAGAAAATATCTGAATCGCAAAAACTAAACCAGGACAGAAACCGGTCAAGGTTGCAGCACATACCACTCATAAAATTTCTTAACAAGGATTTAAAGATGAACCGTGAAGCACTGTAGAAGTGCAAATGTGGAGTCGATCAGGTTGAAGCGCGACAAATGAAATCCGAGCTGCGAAATCAAGCCGGAGAACTGAAATAACTATAGAGAAGCCTGAACGATTCGAGCAAAGTCGAGCAGCCGGAGTAGGAGAAGTGTGTATCGCGAACTTCAGAAAATATAAATTAGGGCGTCGAGGGAGCCGATGAACCTCAGAGAGCCTAAATAGATTTTTTTTTTGGAAACTAGACGAAGCTGGCGGTCTTTAATATCCGACTGTCTAGGAAGAGTTGTATTTGATTGTTTTTCTTTTACTATATTTCCTCATACAAATCCTCCCTCCCTCCTCATTGCATGCTACTCCATCTTCCTATGTAGGTGATCTAACTTAAGAAAGTACTACTTTTTGCAGAAAGTTTGTAGCTGAAAGATCATTAAAGCTGCTTTCTGGATCCTGTTACCTTCCACATCCAGATAAAGAAGAAACTGGTGGGGAAGATGCCCATTTCATATGTGATGATGAGCAAGCAATTGGTGTTGCAGATGGTGTTGGTGGCTGGGCAGATGTTGGTGTTAATGCTGGACAATATGCTAGAGAACTCATGGTTAATTCAGTGTCCGCAATCCAAGATGAGCCACAGGGATTAATTGATCCTGCAAGGGTGTTAGAGAAGGCCTACTTAAATACCAAAGCTAAGGGATCATCTACAGCATGCATTGTTGCTCTCACCGAGCAGGTCGGTTGCTCGAGAAATTATTCTGTGCGGCCACCGAACAGTTCAGAGCCGAATCAGAATGTGCCACATCATCTGGTACTGAGTGGTACACAACAAAAAAATGACGTGACGGCGTGACGCATTCTCATTTGCCTTTGAACGTTGTTCGGTGACCGCACAGAATAAAATTTCCGGTCACTTGTACAATAATTATACTTTTTTTTTTTTCGTTACTCATTGTTAATTTATTGGATTTCTTTACAGGGAATTCATGCTGTGAATCTTGGGGATAGTGGATTCATTGTTGTTAGAGATGGAAGCACCATTCTCCGCTCGCCAGTTCAACAACATGATTTCAATTTTACTTACCAACTTGAGAGTGGCAATGGTTGTGATCTTCCTAGTTCTGCTCAGGTTTGTTTTTCCTTTTTTTTTTCTTCAAATGCAAAAAAGAAATCAGAATTAAGAGAATCTCCAACCGAATACCAAACATGCGTATGGTGTCGTTCGGTCGCTCCAGCGGAACGCCGAATTTTTCACTATTTGCTTGCGGGTGAACACTACGACGCCAATATTGGCGTTGCACTGTTCACCAACATGATTTTTCTGTCTCAATCGGATTTGCCGAAGAACGAGCCGAATAGGAGAAAGACGGTTACCTTCACAAAATCCCGCAAAATGGAGTTTGATTGGAGATGAATCACGGTATTTTGGAGTGAAAAATGGGATTTCGGTTGGAGATGCTCTAAGGCACTTGAGAGTGGTCAATATTTAATAAGCTTACTTGTTATAGCTGGAAGTAATGAGAGAGGAAATTTCTGGTAAGTTGAGCAGGAAATAAGCTCTTTGTTTTCTTTCACATGATCTGAGCAGGTCTTTACTCTGGCCGTTGAAGCTGGTGATGTAATAGTTGTTGGAACAGATGGATTGTTTGACAATCTATACAGTAATGAGATTAACGCCATTGTTGTTCATGCTTCGAGGGCGAGGTTGGCGCCGCAGATCACAGCTGAAAAGATAGCAGGTCTTGCTAGACAGAGAGCTCAAGATAAGAACAGGCAAACTCCATTCTCAACTGCAGCTCAGGTTGCTGGATATCGCTACTATGGAGGAAAGCTTGATGACATTACAGTGGTTGTTTCCTTCATCACTTCCTCTAATTGAGACTTGAGATTATATTATAATGGTATTTACATACCAGAAATTCCATATTTACATATCTAATATAAAAAAAAATTATATTATATGTATTCTAATCTTTAAATTACAGAAAAAAAGTGTTATTAATATTAACTTATTTAACATAAAATAAATCTTTTTTATCATTAGAAGTGATATTTAAGTAAATAAAAAGAATATTAGATATGAATAAAAAGAATATTAGATATGTGAATATTTAAGAATTTTATTATGTGTGGAAATCTCCCATTGTAGGATGTACAGGCATTGACATTAGAAAGATTAGAGATTCAGATGACTCATTATGTTTAGATTTTTTTTTTTCAAGAATTAGTAAATTGATGTATTATATCCCAATAGTGTATGCATATGTATTATACACAATTAAATGATGGCCAATTTTATGATTTTGTCCTTTGATAATTAATTAGCTGTATTTTTTTTTATAGGTTGTGAAATATAATGACAAAGCATGTTGTTTGAGAGGAAAATTATATACTATGGGAACCATATATTTAATAAGCAAATAGATTATCATAAAAATTAATAAAATCTTACAAATAATTCTCATATCATAGATCATAATTAATGATATAATCTTGAGTTTAGAAGTTATTCAATATTGTAAATAAATTGAATATAAAAGGAGAAGAAATAGTTCTTCTCTTCCATGGACAGTGATTATGATGCTGCAATTAATTAGATTTTCTTGTCATGACCTTCCAAAATAAAATTAAAATAGTTCATTATTTTGACATCAAAGATATGATTTGATGAGTTTTTAGTATGTTTTTAGCATCATCAGTTGAATGGATCAATTTTGTAGCATCATCAAGACTGTTCGAGATAATTTTTTTATTGTTTTATAAAATAATTTTCTAACATAAAAATGTTTTGAACTGAAAATTTTTATAGTAATAAGTTGCTTTAGAAAGTAGGAAAAAAATCGTCCCCAAATTAAGCCTACATATTGTTCTATATTATAGGAATGATTCTTGTTTATCTCAAAACTGGTGGAAATGGACATAAAGGAATTACAGTAGGTGTAATATAAGTATATAACTCATCAAATTTAAGCTTTATTTGGTATAACTTTTTATTATTTTTTAAAGTAATTTTTTAATACAATTTAAAAAAAAAATTACTAGAAAATTGCTTTAGAAAATAGTAAAAAAATTGTCCCAAATAAAATTTAAATATATATTTTCTCTTATTTCTTGCAATAAAACTAAATTAGAATGTTTAATGTAATAACTTCCATATTTCGAGTTCCCCAACGAAAAAGACAATAAACCATTTTCTTTTAGAATCTGCATCCAATTTTTTCATTTTTTATTAGACGATCGAAACCCTTTTTTTTTCTTTCTCTAAACTACTAATCAGAACGCAATGAATTAAGAGGAAAAAGCAGTCACTGAAGATAGATTTAGACAAATTATTCAAGGAACTGTTCATCGATTTTGCATTACCGGATTAATGGAGGGATGCGCATATACTGCGGGGGAAGCGTACATAGTTAAGGCGATCGGAGTTCCACAAAAAACCCTGAAATGCTGCAAATCAAACAGGAAGGATCTTCTGTTGAAGTTAAATTATATTGAAAAAAGAGAACAAGTAAGCAAAAGCAGGACGAAACAAACCTGGCCAGCTCAAATAGGCAGGAAGAAAGCCGGCCGAGTGCCGCCAGTATATTTAGGCTTGCGCATAGGCCGCCCAGTGCGCCGAATTCGGTGGCCAGGCAGAAGGTGATGCCTCTGGCAGCGAGGCAGTAGCAGCAGCGGCGGCGGCGTGCTTCGAATTAGGAACATTTGTTAGGCTTGCGCATAGGCCGCCCAGTGCGCCGAATTCGGTGGCCAGGCAGAAGGTGATGCCTCTGGCAGCAGCGGCGGCGGCGTGCTTCGAATTAGGAACATTTGCCGGTGATTCGGCGTCTTTCGGGGATCCCATGGGCGATGGTTTAGAACTCCCGCCTCTAGGTAGGAGAGATATCTGCTAACACTATATGACTTTTAATTTGTTTTCACAAGGAAATTAGGATAAAGAATCATTCCAAATAAAAATTATAATCCACAATTACAATCATGAGAGATAACTTCAAATTACCAAATATTATAAAAATATTAAAGGTATAGCAAAGAGGTAGAAGCTTATATCATAATTGCGGGATAATCATCATCTTGCCCTTTAAGTATTGTGCCTGTGGGGAAGGATAGTCGATGGTAATTGTTTTTGCATTCTTGTTTCGATTTTTTTCGTAGTCCATCGGATTCAACCTCTCCAACACAACGAGCCCAATCCAGATCCTAGTGCCTACCACCGATTCAGCGTTGAAAACTTTAGATACGCCTGTTCAAATTCTCAGTGCAATATGTCTGCTAATTTTCTAACCGATCAAGGCATTTACAAGTTCCCATCTTTTTCATTATTGCATTTCGTAGTAAATAATCAGGTTTCATCCAGAGCCATAAAACCTATGAAGAATCTTTCATTTCTTATATATGATTAACAATAATGCTATTTTTTCAATCACCTGTGTACATGTCCCTAGCAAGTTATTTGGCAGCATCTTGCCTTCAGAGATCAGCTGTTCTGGATGGAATGAGTTGCTCTAGTAGGCACCAGTCTTCCTCGTCTATCGATCACAGTGTGGTTCGTCTAAGATCTTACATATCTGCTTCGTGGACTATGCGTTTACCTGCACGGCTGTCTCTCGGCTTTGAATGAAGGTATTTTGAAGGCGTTCTATTGGAGTCAACTGCCCACTGACTCGTTATCACTGTGTCCATTATAGGGTTAACGAAATGGGAAACACAATCAGTTCATGTAGCAAGGTTGCTAATATTCCAAACGACATAAATCATTATGTACACGAAGGAATGGCAAGTCTTAGATACTATTCCAACAAATGCATCCAACGTGAATATATGAACTCAATGAAAACTTAGCGGCAACAGTTCGCTGCTTTTGAATGGAATTGTCATTAAAATAATTTTTGAAGTATTAAAAAATAAGTTTTAATTCCCAAATGGAATGAAGCAGAAAACACAAGAACCCCCGGATATAATTCCCAAGTTGACAAGAACTATAGCAACACCAATTATATAAAAGTGGCAGCATAATCTGAGGACTAAGAAGCTCAAAACCTGAAAAAGCTAAAAACTTCCAGCAAGTACGGAAGAGACGAAGGATCTTATGAAGAAACGGTAAAAGTCTAAAAAAGAAAAAAAAAATTTTTGCAAATTTTCCTCATAAGTGAAAATAAGGCCAAGACCTTTTAGGCAGACAACCAAATAAACATACTCGCGGAAGCTAAATTCAGAGAACTAGACAAACCACCGAAACACATTTACCGTAAAAAACAACAGATCACAGGAAAAATGAACTTCAAAAACTTCAACAGTTTCACTGGGAAAGAATGAAAAAGCAAATACGTAACTTTTCCGGCAGGAACCTAATCCAATGCATAATTTACATTACAGATCCAGATCAGAGAAACAAATCAACGCAAAACAAAAAAAAAGTCCAGTGGCCGTGCAACCGAACAAAGCAGACTACAAATCGATAAAAATTTTGTAAGATCTACCAACAAAATTTCCTTCCAGCTAAAACAGAAAACTGAACAGAAAAAGAAATGATAGCATGCGACCCGGCATCATGCCATCGGGTTGGATCCCATGTCGAGGCAGTAAGCAACTCCAACAGGAGTTACCAACCTGGATCCCGCTGCCCAATGTGGACTGCTAATGATCTCTCTCATCTTTCGCCCTTCTCAAAACCCAGAAACAAAACCCTAACGCTCGTCCTCCCCCACCTCCTTTCTCTCTCTTCGCAAGCCGGAGAGAGGAACAGATGCCAAACGAATGAGAAAGCCGGACGAACGATAGAGAATGAGAAAGTGAGAAATGCTTCAAACCCTAAATTCCTTGTGTTTTAAAGAAGGGCGGGAAAATGGGGGAAAGTTAAATAAAATAAAAATTAAAAAAAAAGTAAAAAAACGTTAATAAAACGATTAAAAAATAGAGTAAAATAGTAGTCTGTAGAACAGCTATTGACCGGCACAGTCGGTCGACTCGGCTCGGCGAGCTCGGTTTCCTTCAAAATCCAAAATGGCAGTAAGAACTGATATTTGCATTTTGTTCCCAGAAAAGAATAAGGTTTTTTCATATAAAACAAGATTTTGCATTTTTGTCCCCAAGCATGTGGAGATTCACACTTAACCGCCAAGGCCTCGTTTTGATTAGGCTTTTTCTTTCCGTTTTCGTTTGAATACGCCGAATCAAATTAGTATTTAACTGGTTTGGAATCAAGCTTAGCCATATTCCTTTTTAAATAAAGCATCCATTATTTTCGGCGGTTACAAAATTAATTTTTTGTATCTGCTTCTTCGTTCTGGTTCACAAATCGGAGTTTCGGAGCGATTATTTTTAAAATTATTTTCAAGTATTAAATAATAAAATCTCAAAAGCAGAACTCCTAAACAAACAATTTTTAAAATTACTTTCAAGTATTAATAAGCACTTTTTAAAAATATTAGTCAAACATATGCTCATTATTGAAACTCCATTATTTATGAACGGCTTTTTCTCAAACCTCTTTTCTAAAACTCCTTTTTATGTAAGCATAAACCGAAATCAAGCGAAGCCTAAATATGATTGTCGATTGGCCCCGCCCTCAAAGAAGTACCTTTGCCCAATTTATAATTGTGAACAACTGAACAATTATTTCAGTAAAATTATTTGCAACATATTCATTTTTGATTGAATTCTAAAAATAATTAAATTGTTTTCAAGAATAATACTATTTAATAAAAAAAAAATTTAAATCATATTGATTTCAGAAAGAAATTTTAATAATTTTAAATTAATTTTCTATTATAAATTTATATTGAAATATTGTGATAAATTTTTTTCACATAAAAATAGGTCACAATGCCTTAAACAAATAAAATTTTTCAGTGATTAAATATTAAATTAGATATAATTTTATTTAATTTTAAATCATTATAATTTAATATTTAATTTTAGATACAATACAACAAGAACAAGCGCTCTATCCGCACTACATGAGATCGATAACATTGAATTTGAATATATAAATTTAAATTAAAATCCAAATAAATGATGAAATTCCAGTCGAATAAAATCATTCAGCTCGATTTCAATTAAATTTTAATTTTCAATTTAAACGGGAAATTAGAGAATTATGATTTTAGTTGCATTCAATCTAAGGAAATTATATTTATTTTTCAACAATTTAGCCATCTTCCACCTTCTGAGAGATTAGGCTTCGTTTAAGGATTGTTGTTTTTTATTGCTTCTTAAAACCAGTTTTTTATTATAAAATTTTTAATTTTTAACTAAAAATTTGCTTTAAAAATCGGGCAAAAAAGCAGTCCCAAATTAAGCCC